ACTAAACAATTATTTTCATAAGCAAACGATACTCTTTCGGGTTCGAGAGAACCAGTAGATATTCCAATAGTATTCAGAACAGAAATACTGTTAAGAGCTGCATAGGCAGTTTTTGGTGTCGATAAGTTCATAGAAGTATCAGAATCAGATAGGCGCAAATCAGTGACATATTTCTCTCCAATATATACAGATAAATTTTTTTGTGGATGTTTCTTTGCCGCTAAAGATATAGCATTGGAACATTTTTTTTTCAATATACTATCAGCACAGTTTTGCCATTAGTCGTTAGTTTAGCTTTTGCCTTAAGTTGAATTGCCTCTAAGTGTTGATTAAGCTTCTTACTCACATCAGGAAGATCGGATATATCAAGAACTATCTTATAATTACACTTAGACATGCTTGTTATGGATGGATACTCACGTTTTGTTCTTCTTGAAACTATCAGTAATTAATAGTTAATAAATCATATGATAAACAATGAATAGTACAGAATAACTACATAATTTTGATTACTTTAGAACTTTTCATAAGAATAAATTGTGTAACGGTAAGGAGTGCAATTCTTACAGCTGTTTTTATATTCCTGGCTCAATTTATAGACAATGACTATTATGTCTTCCATCTGATCTGAGATCATAAGAACAACATTGTTCCGAATTATTTATTTATTCAAACTGGACGTAAAAGTGATAATTTATAATACATAGGCTGATCAACTTGACAACAAATTTGTCTTAATTTTATATAATAACATAATCTAGTTATACTTGTCTTATAGCTCATTTTCTTCTGACTTAACAAATTCTTCAAACATGAATAATACAGAAGTTAAGTCTTGATATAACATATGTCTAAAAGTATTGTTCATGATTACATAATGATGATCAGTGATTCTAAAGTCAAAAGTGCCGCTTTTGCGTTTCTTTCTATTGTTGTTGTTTATCTGCACAATTAAAAACCGATTTCCAGCGCTAACCGGTATTTGCTTTTCTTTCTGTCTGACGGTATATCTCATTCTTCTGCACATAATATGCATACGACTTTTCTGTTAAAAAACAAAATGTAAAATAACTTTCTGCCTTTCTTTTCGAGCGAATGTGGTGGGATGACAAATACTTTTTTATTACGTGTAGATACACAATGACTGAAGTTGTTTAATGTTGAAACAAAATGTGAGTAAGAATACATGAGAATAACTGAAAATACAACACAAACAGGCTATTTTTCTAATTCAAAAAGATTATACATTGTTCGGATATTACAATTAGAAATTTGAATGAATTTTACAGTTCCAACACCTGGTTCTCTAAAAATATTTTCGAGATATTTAGCTACAAACACAATACCGCGACAGGGATCGTAATCAGATAAATCTTTTGGACGAAGATGAGGAGCGTCTGTTTCTAATATTATTCGTTCAAAGACTTTTGGATGTTTAATCAGCCATGATTTCATTATTTTGTCTTCTTGCGGATCCTTGATGTAAGTAGCAGATCCATTAAAACCGACGAAACCATTTTTAAAATAAGACAAAAAGTTGTCTAGTACATTAAAATCAGAATCTGCTTTAATACAATGCCAATGAATGTGATGCCAAATTGAACGAAGATTATTTTTTAACACGGATAACATCGGCGCAAAATAGTGAGTACTTAGAAAAATAATATTTAAAAGGAGAATGTTCAGCAAGTCTATAACTCAGCATTAACTTACCCCTGCAATGAAGAACTAATGGTAGACTTAATTCATCCGCCAGAAGAACTTGTTTGTAAGAAAACGATCATTTGATCGTCGAATGAACTAGAACTTGTGCAATCGAGACCGCATTCACCGGCGCCAACAATAAAACGTTCTGGATGAGTACTTTGTTGTGTGAGGAGGATATTTCGAAGACTACTAAGTTGTAAATCATAAAAAGTTTTGAAAAATGTTTAAGATGGATACCGAAAGTTTCGTGGATAATAACATTAGGATTTGAAGAATAGTGGGATAATTTAAACCATTGATGCGGAATATGTTTATTTGATATTAGAACTAGCCGTCAAATTGTTGAATTATTTAATTCTTGGAGAAAATGACGCTCTTGGATATCATCAAAATGGCAATGGACATCATTGAGGTCAGCCTCCGTCATAGGCATTTGTTTCGTTTTGAAAACGAAACAAATGCCTATTCTTTACTCGGTTTTCTATTCTATTCATTAGTAGTACCCTTATCTAACAAACGTGATTATTGGTCATCATTCTGTCGGCAATCGATAGTTGCGGATGTCATTACACGCGATCGAATAATGTATTTATTATCAATACTTCATTTCCATGATAATTCAATTGAAAAACATAAATCTGAAAAGGTTGAACCAATCTTACGTTACTTCAATGAACGATGCAAACTAATTGTCGAACCAGAGAAGAACTTGTCGATTGATGTGCAAATGATAGCTTATAAGGGAACAACAACACCAACATCCTTCCGGCGATACATGCCAAAGAAACCTACCAAGAGAGGTTTCAAAGTCTGGACTCGATGTGAAGTATCAGCTTTTGTCTATGAGATGATCTTGTACTGTGGTGCATCGAAACCTGTGTCCAGTGCGTCAGTTCTATCTGACTCATCATTGAAACGTGCTTCTCGTCGGCCAACAACAACAACATCCAACGATGTTAAGTCAGTTAATGCACAGCGTGAAAGACCTCTCAAGCAATATGGGTCCTCGGGACTCGTAGTGCTCGATTTGATCAGAAATGTTCCTGCTGGCTCTTCGATATTTGTCGACAATTACTTCGCATCTACTAAATTAATTAAAAAAATGACTCAACTG